AGTCTACAAGAGTACAAGAAATCCTTACAAAAAGGGGGTTGTTGCTTTGACCTCAGATACATCCCTATTGATGCTGATACATTACTGCCTTATTTTTCTCTAACTGTAAAGGGCTTTTTAAAAAATTCACCACATAATCAGCTTTGTTCTCAAATGGCTCTAAGTTCTTAACAATGATCTTTAAATATATGCTAGCAAAGATCAAATGATCATTACGTTGTTGTTGTTAAGTGCCGCTGAGTTGGTCCCAACCTATATGCAGTCCAGAGCATTAGCCCACAGTGCCACACCAGGGCTCCAAGTAATCATTATATTCCAAAACGCTGTTTAGTTTTGTTTTAATTTCAAAAATAATGCTTGTAAAGAGGGAACCTTTGACATAGTTCACACATATGAATAAAGTTTTGTAAAATATACTACCACCTTATTATACATTAGGGTTTCATCTTTTAATTTCTATTTTCACATGATTGTTTGGGTTCTCCCTTATCTTGTCTAAGAATGACCTGTCCATGATTCTTCTTAGTAGAACCCACTTCAGATGCTAAACTAGGCTGAATAGGATTGAGCCATAGGCTGTGCATATTCTGCGTTCACCAAGTCATTCAGAATTAATGCAGTAGCAGAGTGAAAGAAAAGGATATTAAGACACAATTCCTGACCTCTGGAAATGTCCTTTGGTTGGTGAGACAAGACTTTATGCATGTAACAGTTAAATAACAATGCAAGGAAGTAGATGATTAACTGGCATGAAAAAGGATATGTGGGGAGTTCCTAGAGGATGGGAAAAGGGTTGGCTGAAGCACAAAGATCTCGTGGAATAAAGTGGAATTTAATTGAAGTCCTGCAGGATGAACAATATTTTTAAAGGTGGAAGGGGGAGATAAAGGCATCCATGCAGTGAGAGATGAGTAGAATGGAGGGATTATAGAGTACTGAGGAATCCGGAACACAGAGGGGGTTGGCGGAAATTTTTAAGGATTTTAAGGTGAGACAAGGAGTCTCCACAATGAGAGGAAAGTAACAAGAAATGAAAAGTATTGATGCTATTTTTCCTTTCTTAAACATATAAATCATCAAAGAAATATTCATGGCTAAAAGTGTGCCTGTTCATTTACCCATTCATTTGGTGCTGTTGCTGTGTGCGGATGTATTGGTTCTTACTATAGTAACCGTATGTATTCTCTAGTCCTGCTCTACCCTCACCATCATTGCTATGTCTAAGCCCATTATTGCAGCCAGCATATGTCATCAATAAATGTAGACCGCTATCTTCTATCAACTCCTGTTTTCAGTATAAAAAACCAGCTACTGTTGAGTCGATTGTGACTCACTAGATCTTTTTACTAAGGGGCCTCTGGGTGGACTTGAACCACCAGCCTTTTGATGAGCAGTCAAGTGCATTACCCAGTGACTCCTGTAGTTGTTAGGCGCTCTCCAGTTGGTTCTGACTCACAACAACCCTGTATAGAGTTTCTGAGGCTTTAAATCTTTAAGGGAGTAGAAAGCCTCATCTTTCTCCCACAGAGTGGCTGGGGGGCTCGAACCAAGACCTTGTGGTTCTCAACCCAGTGTTTATCACGTAGAGCCAACAGGCTCCCCCCAGCGACTCCTTGTTGCTGCTGCTATGATTAGGGGCTGTTGAGTCAGTTCTGACTCATAGAGGCCCTATATAAGGTTTCCCAGGAGCAGCTAGTGAGTTTGAACCGCTCACCTTGAGGTTCAAACTGAGCTTGCAGTCCAGTGCGAATTCTACAGTGCCACACCAGGACTCCTAGTGGCTAGAGAAAATACTTCCGTCCTCAAGAATTGCACAGAGTAGGAGAGACAACATCCAAAACAACAACAACAACAAAATCACAATTTCAATGTATCAATGGGAACAATGAAAAAAACCCAATCCATTGCCATGGAACTGATTCCAACTTACGGTGACCTGACAGACCAGAGGAGAGCTGCGGTTTAGGGTTTCCAAGGCTACAAATCTATACGGGAGCAGACAGCCTCATTGATTCCAAGGAGTGGCTGGTAAGTTTGAACCGCTGAACCTGCAGTAAGGAGCCCAATGCTTACCCCATAGCACCACTTCTTATTGTTGTAGTTGTTAAGTGCTATTGAGTCTGACTCATAGTGACCCTGTATAGGGTTTCCAAGGAGCAGATGGCAAGTCTGAACCACCGACCTTGCTTTGGGCTCTTTGTATTATGAAAAGTGCTATGATAAATGATAAATTATTTCAACGTATTATTAAAGTGCTATGAGAAAGAAGGGACTGCAGGGATGCAGAGAATGGCTAAGACTGTGAACATGTCAGAGAAGGGAATATCCTCCTGAAACAGGTGCCCAGGTGGATGGGGAAAGTCAAGACAATCAGCCAGAGGTCTCTGCAAATACAAAGGCAGAGAGCAGGAGTGAGCCAGTGGGGGCCTTGCCTATGGGGAACAAAGGCTGCATGCGGAGAAGTGGCAGGGGATGAGTATGGGTCACTGACTGCTGCAAATACAGGAAACTAAAGAGCTGTGAGAATGTATCCCTCCTCTGCAAATAATTTACAGTCAGACTTTGAATGGCTTCCTTCTCCATGTTTGCAATTTCATCATGAGAGGTACATTTAACTCAGACCATCCTTGGGTTTTTGTGCTAAAGTAGAAAATTCTGTCAGTACCATAATAACCATCTAAAGGCTCATGTTTGCTAGACTCACAGAAGCCTGGATGTAAAATAGAAAGCATCTAGTCCAACCAGTGTCTTTTCAATGTAAACGCTAATTCTGAGCATTCCTGGCAGGTGGCCATCCAGACGGAAAGAACTTGACTCAGCTCCGGGGCGCCCGGTCTATCTCAGGAAGCAGACCAATTCATTACCGAATATCATTACTTGTGAGAAAATCTTTCTTAAACTAAGATGAAATAAGTCTCACTATAGTATCTACCCATTTCTAACCCCTAGGGTGAATGAAAAATATCATCCTACATGCAGATGGTACTGGAGTCTTTGTGGAATAATGAAATGAGAATTGTTCCTTTTTTTCACTAAAGAACTTACTAGTTAACAACTGGCTTAATTTTGATTAATTAGGTTCTCCAAGATCATGCGCCATCTTTCTTTTCATGAAGACCTTGAAGGGACATCTGTTACTGTTAGTAATGCTCCATTTTCCTCCTTTATTGATTAGTGCTAGCTTCTGTTTGCATAATACTTTACCCCCTTTCGAAGCGCTGTCAAATAAAGTATCCAATTGTAATGTCATGTGAAGGTTGTGGCACCACTGTTCGTAAGGTATCTTTACAAAAATATCTTTCTATTTTTATGGCACATTATAAAGTATAAGGCAGAAAATGTAAAATAAGTCTGAGATAATCTTAGGTTTCTGACAGGACAAAATCTATGAGATGACAAAAGAGCTCAATGTTTTGGCTTTTCCTTGAGGTTTTATAAAGATTTCTTTCTATCTTTTTGTTTTTCTTTTTTTGGTAAAAATAAGTTGTCATTGTAAGCTGCTGAGTTGACTCTGACTCATAGTCACCCTACAGGACAAGTACAACTGCCCCATACGGTTTCCAAAGCTGTATTCTTTAGGGAAGCGGAGCTGCAGTGCGTTCTAACTGCTGACTTTTCAGTTAGCATTTGAGTGCTTAACCACTGTCCGGAGTGCTCATTAAAACATATGTATATATGTTGTTGTTGTTAAGTGCCATCAAGTCGATTCCGACTCACAATGACCCTATATAGGTTTTCCAAGGAGTGGAGAGTAAACTTGAACCACTGACCTTGCGGTTCAGACAGACTTTGCTGTGCAGCGCATTAACCCACAGTGCCACATTTGCCAATTCAACACTTTTAAATGTGCAATTCAGTGACATTGATTACATTAATCATGCTGTACAACCATCAACTATATCTGCTGCCAAAAAAGTCTAACCATCAGAACAGATTCTGATGTCTACTCTAATTATGGACAAATAACTGATACTTACCTTAACTACAAGTTACATATACTCCTATCTCAACAAACCATTTGTATGACTAATTGTATTGAAAACTAGTCACTTAAACACAGATGCTAAGTGTCTGGCACTAGCTCTGGGGCTCAAGGCGAAGAGGTTAGAAATGGAGTTAAAGAAGGCCGTTTTAAATTCTGGATGTTAAATATAGAACAAAAGTTGAGAGAAACGAGGCAAATACAGTACGCGGTGCTAGGCAAGGGCACAGGAGCAGGAACCAACTCTGTGGGGCAGGGCAGGAGGAAGATAGAGAAGAGTTTATGGCAGAGAAGAGGGGAGCTCAACAAGGGGGAAACAGAATGTAAACCCCGTGCACCCCAAAGTAAAGTACAAAGTGCCAGAAACATGGTGGTGCTATACACGTTGTTAAGGACAGGACCCAGAGACCCCCACATTCTATAGGGCTAAGTGGATATCCTACTACTATGACTGAAATGATAGCAGCTTTCCAGTCCCCCACTATAAAGCCAAAGAGACATCTTTGTTATTCCAGAAAGCATTACATGCAGGCTCCTCTTTGCCTCTGAAAGTACTAATGGGTCTGGTAGATGTGTGATTCCAAACACCAAGGATCCCTGGGGAACATTTCTATTAAGCATGCGACCTTTCATCACATTGGACACACTGTTTAAGCAACTATTAGCATTCACTGCAGAGACTCAAATGGCATGCCTACTTCTGATATATACCTCCCTCCCTATCTACACACAGAGGGATATGCCTGCCTCCATAGTTACCAGCCCTCGAATGTTCACACATCCCTACATAAAGAACCTATAGGGTTAATGACTTAAACTGAAGACACCTGGCTTTGATCCCGGGAAAGATACACGTAAACTCCAAGTAATAGTAACAGTTCAGTGATTTCTCTACAAAAACAGGAAGGAATCAAGTTTCCCATGGGAAGTCCAATTGCATGCTTGAAACTATACCTTAAATGACGCTAATTTACACAAGACAGAGGAGAGAACTTGATAAGACTAATGACAAACCAACCTTGTTGGCAGAGTACAGCACCCATCGGCTGTGAGTCTAACTTGAGTTTCGTAGCTGTCCAGGGGGCACACGGCCTGCTGAACGGAGGGGCATTCCACAGTGCTGCAGTCCACGCTGAAAACTGCAATGGGGCAAACAGAGAGGCACCATTTACTGTTACATCTACTCAGACCAGTATGAGTCCTAAAATGAAACACTGGCTCTTAAGCTTCCAAAGTTCTCCGGCTTCCCAGAAACCCTGTCCTTGTATCCTTGTGCTGACATTTTCATTACAGTCAATGCTACAGAACTGCAGCATGTCCCACGTTTTCTTAGCAAGGAAATGAGGAAGGAGGATGAGCTACTGGAAAAATGAAGAGAGGGAGATAGAGTTAAACCAATGGTGGTTATATGGATGGTGACATACCACAGATGTTTCTGAAAGAACAGTTCAAGAGATGGAAAAGGGATTATTTTGCTTGAAGCACTGATCTCGCAGGAAACTTGCAAAAAGGAAATCATTGTAGTTCAGATGTTTACAGACATTATTAGAAATGTTGCCACAAGAGCAAGGATGTTAGAAATACTATGAAGCAAGAAGCAGCTGGGATACAACAAATCAGATGTTGGCAAAGATAGTGAGTAAATCATCAAAGATGACTTAGCACATGCTATAAAGTCAAGGGGATGGATGATGGGGCAGTTGGCAAGGAGAAAGATTGGGGCTCAGCGTTCCATTATAAAAGTTTCTGGAATTTTGATGCCTATATTGACCTAAAAATAACTGTGTTATGCATGATTGTTTTCAAATGTAATGCTTTAGAGTGACAGATATGTTTGCAAATGAGGGCTATGACCTTCTCTGGGGAATGAAGCAGACAGTCAGAGTACCATAAATTTCAAACCACCCACCCATCAAGCACAATTTGGTGTAGGGGAGGGAGAGATGAATGAAAAAGAAAGAAAAAGATGCAATCCCTGTCTAAAGGAGCTTATAGACCAGTGGATTATCACTCTGGTTGTCTGGATTGAGTTCAGGCTGCCATTAGCCACACACCGCAGACTGGCAATGCATGACAAGAAGAATGCTTAACTTCACAGAAAGGAGAGCAGCAAGAAGGGCCTGCTACTCCCTGGGATGCAAAGGAGCTAGGCTGCAGAGACAAAGCTCGCGCATACCTGGTTTGCACTCATAGAGGTCACAACACTCTCCGGGCTTCCCTGAGGCTTTGGACACCAGTATGTTCAGGTATCCCGGCTGGCAGACTTTGCGCAGACAGCCGGCAGGGTCGCACACGCAGCGGCTGGGTAAGGGGCAGCACTCCCCAGGAGGAGCGTAACCCTCGATCAGAACGGAATCTTCAGGACAACGTGGAGAAAACTGGACTTCACAGCGGGCCTTGGAGCAATCTGGCTTCTCTTCTAAATGGGAGAGAAAGAATTTAGCACATGCCCAGGGGCAGTGTGGGGCACTCTGATCAGAAGCAAAGACAGTCCCGATGGTCTATTTACTAACCAAAGACGAAGGCTGAGAAAGAAATCCAAAGAGGACCCTCAAATTCAGTTTAGCTGACCATGAAAGTCTCTCCCCAGGACTGTCCTAAATGGTGAGTCTGCAGATCCCTTCTCCTCCACTATCCTATTCACTCCAGTTGATAAATCGATGTTCAGTGCAATGACCAAAGTGAAGAAAGAAAAAGTCAAGATGCAAGCATGCAACAGAGAATCTAAAAACTGGCCTTAGTTACCGAAGAGCTGAAGGATCTGAAAATTGCAAGAATTGCAAAGGCTGCTCTTTGAAAGCAGTATGCACTTAAAATGCAAAATGGAGACTCCTAAATGAGCTACCTCAGGGACAGGAGACAAGTTGCCTGATAATCAATGTGGATGAGCTCTACCTTGTGTTAGATTAGACAAACTTAGCAAGAGAATATGATTTTATAAGGCTGGCAGCTCAGCAAGGTGGAAAGAGGGCAAATTCCAGTGTAATTTCCCTAAATGACATCTGAAGAGTTTCTATTGCACGACAGAGAGATATTAAACGTACTTCATCCATTTTCTCCAGTGTCATCTACTCAAATCTAGATAGGTGACACCAAACTTTAATGACAGGATGGCAAAGCCCAGTGGTCTTCAACTCAGTTTCCCGTTTAAGCTTTAAAGATGCCTGTAGGGGTCGTAATGAGTTAAAATGAACTGGACAACAATGAGTTTGGGGTTGGTATTTAGGCATCTAGCATGTGGTTCTTGAGGAAAAGACCAAAATAAGGCAAAACTACATAATTACAATCCATGACATTTGGGGGACACTTTGGGAAATGGTGGTAGTAAATGGTGCCACATAATATAGTGGTATGTTTACATCAGCCCTATCTGTCCTCCCCAAAGTAAAACTCTATCACTGAATCTCAGAGATCCAACAGATCACTTGGTAAGCTTCTTCATTTTTTAGATAAAGAACTTGAGTCTCAAGCCCTCAGGTGACCTGCGTAAGGTCAATGGTAAACTTAAAGCAAGACACCAGACCTCTTCACTTCCAGTTCATTTCACTACTGACGTTACAAAATCAGGTCTATTTCCAAAACTAAGCCTGCTCCTTAGATCACTGTCTGCCTTGAACGCTGTATCTTTCACTCCACTGATTAACTACTTCTTGTCTAATTAAAAGACAGTATAGGAAATCCTTCATACTCAGAATTTTAGTATATTTATTCAAAACTATTTTTTGTATATCTGTTGTCCCAGCAGCTTAGGAATCTTCAATAAAGAAAACAGCAATCCCTGCCTGGAGAGAATTTGTAAAGCAGTGGAGTTCAAAATATTACAGTGATGGAAAATAAATATTATAAATATGTAAATTATATAGTAGGAAAGGTTGATACATACGTACGTACTATGGGAAAAAAACAGAGCAGAGTAAGGGTGGGGATGGGATGCTCAGTAGGAGAGCGGGGAGAGAATAGTGAACAGTGAAGATCTAGTCAGAAGAAGCATCACTGAGAAGACAGTGTTTGAACTGAGACCAAACTGGAGTGAAGAGGTGAGCCATGCAGACTTGTGGGAGAAGAAAGGCGCAACAGAACACACAGCTACTATGTGCCTGTGCATCCCATGAAATGCAAGGCCAGTGTTGATGGAGGAGAATGAGCAAGGGGAGAAACAAAAGAGGTTAGAAGTGTATCAGGAGACTTGATCTGGTTATTTAGGACCTTGTAGACTTATTTTCCAGGGTCCTGGTGTGGCATTGTAGAATAAGCACTGGACCACAAGGTTGGTGGTTCAAACCAACAAGGGGTTCCTGAGAAACCCTCTACAGGGTCATTATGAGATGGAACCAACTTGACGGCACTTAATAACAGACCATTTTAAAGACTGTAACTTTGACTATGGCTACTACCAACATGTCCACATCCAGGAAGCAGCTTATAGCACAGCAGAAAGCCTTTGCTCTAGAAGCACAATATGTCAGTAACTTATATGCCAAGTGTTAATATCATAACAACATCATGAAACACAATACTAGTGGCTCCATTATACAGATGATGAACTGAAGTACACATAAGGTCAAACTGCCCAAAGTTACACAGCCCAAAACAATAAGGTGACAGCGTGAAGCGTGGGCCATCTGGCTCTAACTATGTTCCTCTAATAGCGTGCCTCTTGCCTTCAGAACCACCAATATAGTTTGTGTTTTATCTATATCCTTACCTTTCTTTCCTCAGTCCCTAGTTCAATGGTTAAACATTTGGCTAACTACTAAACCAAAGGATAGCAGTTCAAATCTCCCAGAGGTATACTGGGAGAAAGGTCTAGCAATCTACTTCCAAAAGATCAGGGTCATTGAAAATCCTATGGAACACAGTTCTGATCTGACACATACGGGGTTTACCACGAGTTAGGACTGAGCCACTGGCAACTTGAGAACAAGATTAAGGAAGGACAAATTCCACTTTCAGATCCCCATCAGTGTGGAGGAGAAAGCGAATCGTGACTATATGGCAACAGATTAAAGTGGAGTTTGTAAAGCACATTCAGCAGAGTGCTTATCTGGTAAACACAAACACGCTGTTTTGTAATTAATAAAAGCTCAGTGACTTTAATTGCAAAGAGCACTTAATTCCTACTCGTGTTAATTTGGTATAATTAATTATTCTTGATCACATTCTATTATATTCTTATTCTGCAAAATATTTGGTATGTATAATCAGACAATTTCAAGCATATGCTTCAACAAAACATGTTTCCATTAAAACCAAAAGGGTTAGTCTGCTCTTTATGATTCCTCTTAACAGTTTCAACACTGTCACCCCTTGATGTGTGCTTTGCAGTGCAAGCCTCAAGAGATTATTTACTTCAGAACTGCCTTTGCAGTACCGCTGTAATAGGACAGGCTACTGTAGACATAGACACAGTCTGAAACATGAGTAAGTGAATCAGTTTTAGAGCTCAAAGTGATCGAAGCATGTCATAGGGCCTTTTTCTATAATCTGTCAATGTAATCAACTGGTATAATTTAAACCATCCTTGTGTTTTCAGAATGCTTGTTTGTGTTGTTAGCTGCCCTTGAGCAGATTTCAACTCACGGCAACTCCATATAGAGAGAGTAGAATTGCTCCACAAGGATTTCAGGGCTAGGACCTTCCTAAAGCAGACCTCCAGGATTGTCACCCAAGATGACTCTTTGGTTTGAACTGCCAATACTGGTTTGTAGTCGAATATTTTACCAGTTGTTCCACCCAGACACCATTCTTAGAATAAACCCTATTTTTTGAAGATCCTTCTGTATCTGACATGCTAGCATTTCAAAATGTTTTAATTATGTAAACCTGAATTATATGTACTCGGCAATTCTCTCCCTCTCTCTCTCTTTAGTGTTGGTTTCATCGAGTCATAGTTCTAGAATACACTAACATTTTCATTGAGCTGTTTTGCATACTACCTCAGTTTCAAAAACGTTAAATAACACAAGAATTATCTGTTCTTTGATATTTTCATATAAGCCATCTGTGAAATTCTCTAAACTCAATGAATTCTTTTTAAAGGGAGAAGGGTGAGATTTCTTTTATGGTTATTATTATTGTGGCGCGGTGGGATAAGGCGCTGGGCTGCAAAGTTGGTTTGAACCACAAGGTCAGGGGTTCAAGCTCACCAGCTGCTCCTTAGAAACCCTCTACAGGGTCACTATGGGTCAGAACCAACTCGATGGCACCTTAGCAACAACCTCTTTTTGAATCATTCTTATTAATGTATATTTTACTTAGAAGTAGCCAATTTTCAACTAGATTTTCAAATGTCTTTCTGGGTTTATTGACTAAGCTTTCTTTTTGCCATTGATGTATTTGTTTTCTAGTTCAATGGCAGAGAAATGTAGGCTGTACAACTTTCTACTCTGCTAATTTCTTGAGTCTTGTTTCGTTTTTTTGCACATGCATGTGCGTGTGTTCCCTTATGGCCAACTTTCAAATACATGTATTTGTATTTTCTGCTTTTTGGATACAAGCTAGCAAGCTTCTTAATTATGACATTCAGATCACCAATGCCTTACACTTTTTAATTTGACTTCCAAGATGCATTTATAAAAATCTCTCACTATGAACACAGGCCGTTCTGAAGTAAATCAATTTCTTGAGGCTTGAACTGCAAAAAACTTCTCATTATTTCTAAAAGTTTGTATTTTAATTTTTCAAGGCTGCGTTGTGAAATTCATGATTTGGCAGACGTAAATTTCATGCAAATCTCCAATCACCTTTCAAAACATTATCTAGAACACTTATTGACCCAATATCTTCCCCTTATATCCCAGACCTCAGTGTGCCACTTAAACCCAACCTGGTGTGGCGCTGCGGGACAATGCGCTAGACGGCAAGATCAGTTTGAGTTGCAAGGTTGGTGGTTCAAACTCACCAACCTCTTCTCAGAAACACTATACAGGGTTGCTTTGAGTCAAAACCAACAACAACAACATTGTTACTATAGCACCCAGAATTTTTCTCTTATATCTTCTCTTCTTCAGCCTGTTTCTAAAATAAATACTTCCAGTAAATTTTATTTATTTATCTATGGCTCCATTCTTTATTTCTTCCACGGTGACATAAGGAGAAAACCACAGCTGCACCATATATTTCCCACCAATTAGGTTTTTCTGACATTATCTCTGAATTTCTCATTTTGCCATTTGAAAAGAAGTCTCTACTAAGTCTTTCTCTATGATGTCTAACAAATCTATATATATAATACTTAAGTTAATTAACAAGGTTTTCAGTCTAGTTGCCCTAGCAACACTGTGCAACTGGTATGTTAAAAATTTTCAAAAAAACAAAAAAAAAAACAAAAACTGCCCCATATATAGAAAGCCTAAAGTAACATTATCAGTTGTAATAGAAAAGAAGAGATAAATAAGGGAAAATAATCTGGCTTCATGG